AGGCAGAAGATCTCGCTTGGTGGAGCTCTGTGGTTTCCCTGTGCCCATAAGGGGATGTTAATGCTGCAGATGGAGTAGCTTGGGAGGATGGAGAGAGTAGCTTGAATACATTTCCAGACTAAGGGTTGCATGGCACCAGGTAGCAGCTTACAATAGCCACATGATTATGGAACACAGGCTCCATGTCAGACTACACCAAGTAGCTTCCTAAAATCATTTCATTTTTTTATTTTCTTTTTTATTGTGCTGTAGGTGAAAGTTTACAATTCCAGTTAGTTTCTCATACAAAAATTTATACACACATTGTTATGTGACCCTAGTTGCTCTCCTTATACTGTGACAGCACACTCCTCCTTTCTACCGCGGACTTCCCGTGTCCATTCAACCAGCTCCTGACCCTCTCTGCCTTCTCATCCTGCCTCTGGACAGGAGCTTCCCATTTAGTCTCATGTATCTATTGAGCTACGAAGCATACTCTTTACGAGTATCATTTCATGTCCCATAGTCCAGTCTAAAGTTTGTCAGAAGAGATGGCCTCGGGAATGGTTTTAGTTTTGAGCTAACAGAGAGTCTGGGGGCCATGTCTTCTGGGGTCCCTCCAGTCTCAGTAAAACCATTAAGTCTGGCCTTTTTACTAGAATTTGAGTTCTGCACTCCACTTTTCTCCTGCTCCATCGGGGACTCTCAGGGCGGTCATTAGTGGTACCTGGGCACCATCTAGTTCTTCTGGTCTCAGGCTGATGGAGGCTCTGGCTTATGTGGCCCTTTCTGTCTCTTGGGCTAATATTTTCCTTGTGTCTGCGGTGTTCTTCATGCTCCTTTACTCCAGGTGGGCTGGGACCAATTAATGCATCTCAGACGGCTGCTCCTTAGCTTTTAAGACCCCAGACGCCACTCACCAAAGTGGGATGCAGAACATTTTCTTAAAAACTTTGTTACGCCTATTGACCTAGATGTCCCTTGAAACCATGGTCCCTAGGCCCCCACCCCTGCTACTCTGTCCTCAAAGTGTTTGATTGAATTCAGGAAACTGCTTAGCTTTTGGTTTAGTCTAGTTGTGCTGACTTTCCCTGTAGTGTGTGTCACCCTTCCCTTCACCTAAGATAATTTTGTCTAGTTAGTGAATACCCCTCTCCCTCCCTCCCTCCTCTCATAACTATCAAAGAATGTTGTCTTCTGTGTTTAAACCTTTTCTTGAGTTCTTATAATAGTGGTCTCATACAATATTTGTCCTTTTGCAAATGACTAAATTCACTCAGCATGTCTTCCAGATTCCTCCAAGTTGTAAGATGTTTCACGGATTCATCGTTGTTCTTTATCACTGTGTAGTATTCCATTGTGTGAATATACCGTAATTTGTTTATCCATTCATCCATTGATGGGCACCTAGGTTGTTTCCATCATTGTGCTATCATGAACAGTGCTGCAATGAACATGGGTGTGCATATATCTATTCATGTGACAGCTCTTATTTCTCTGGGATATATTCCAAGGAGTGGGACTGCTAGATCGTATGGTACTTCTATTTCTAGCTTTTTAAGGAAGTGCCAAATCGATTTCCACAGGGGTTGTACCATTTTACATTCCCACCAGCAGTGTATAAGTGTTCCAGTCTCTCCACAACCTTTCCCGCGTTGATTATTTTGTGTTTTTAGGATTAATGTTAGCTTTGTTAGGGTGAGATGGTATCTCATTGCAGTTTTGATTTGCATTTGCCTAATCGATAATGATTGTGAGCGTTTCCTCATGTGTCTGTTAACTGCCTGAATGTCTTCTTTGGTGACGTGTCTGTTCATATCCTTTGCCCATTTTTAAATCAGGTTATTTTTTTGTTGTTGAGGTTTTGCAGTATCTTGTAGATTTTAGAGATTAAATGCTGACTGGATTTGTCACAGTCAAACATTTTTTCCAACTCTGTAGGTTGTCTTTTTATTCTTTTGGTGGATTCTTTTGATGAGCCTAAGTGTTTGATTTTTAGGAGTTCCCAGTTATCTAGCTTCTCTTCTGGTGTTTGTGCATTGTTACTTATGGTTTGTATTCTGTTTATGCCATGTATTAGGGCTCCTAGCATTGTCCCTATTTTTTCTTCCATGATCTTTATTGTTTTAGATTTTATATTTAGGTCTTTGATCCATTTTGAGTTAGTTTTTGTGCATGGTGTGAGGTATGGGGCTTGTTTCAGTTTTTTGCAAATGGATATCCAGTTATGCCAACACTATGTGCTAAAGAGACTGCCTTTTCCCCAGTTAATGGACTTTAGGCCTTTGTCAAATATCAGCTGCTCACAGGTGGATGAATTTATGTCTGGATTCTCAATTCTGTTCCATTGGTCTACGTATCTGTTGTTGTACCAGTAACAGGCTGTTTTGACTACCGTGGCGGTATAAGGTTCTAAAATCAAGTAGTGTCAGGTCTCCCACTTTGTTCTTCTTCTTGAGTAACGCTTTACTAATTCCGGGCCTCTTCCCTTTCCATATGAAGTTGGTTATTTATTTCTCCATCTCATTAAAAAATGCCAGTGGAATTTGGATCGGGATTGCATTGTATCTGTAGATCGCTTTGGGTAGAACTGACATTTTCACAATGTTGAGTTTTCCTATCCATGAGCAAGGTATGTTTTTCCACTTATGTAGGTCTCTTTTGGTTTCTTGCAGTAGTGTCTTGTAGTTTTCATCGTACAGGTCTTTTACATCTCTGGTTAGATTTATTCCTAAGTATTTTATCATCTTGGGGGCTATTGTAAATGGTATTGATTTGGTGATTTCCTCTTCAAAGTTCTCCTCCTTGGTGGAGAGGAATCCAACTGATTTTTGTATGTTTATCTTGTATCCTGATAATTTGCTGAAATCTTCTATTAGTTCCAGTAGTTTTCTTGTGGCTTCTTTGGGGTTTTGTTTATAAGATCATATCATCTGCAAATAGAGATACTTTTACTTCTTCCTTACCAATTTGGGTGCCTTTTATTTCTTTTTCTAGCCTAACTGCTCTGGTTAGGACCTCCAGCACAATGTTGAATAAGAGTGGTGATAGAAGGGCATCCTTGTCTGGTTCTTGTTCTCAAGAGGAATGCTTTCAGACTGTCTCCATTTAGGATGATGTTCGCTGTTGGCTTTGTATAAATGCCCTTAATTATGCTGAGGAATTTCTCTTCTATTCCTGTTTTGCTGAGAGTTTTTATCATGAATGGGTGTTGTATTTTGTCAAATGCCTTTTATGCATCAACTGATAAGGTCACGTGGTTCTTGTCTTTTGTTTTATTTATGTGATGGATTACACTGATTGTTTTTCTAACTTGAACCATCCCTGCATACCTGGCATGAATCTCATTTGGTCATGGTGAATTATTTTTTAATATGTTGTTGAATTCTATTAGCTAGCATTTTGTTGAGGATTTTTGCATCTATGTTCTTGAGGGATATTGGTTTGTAATTTTCTTTTTTTGCGGTGTCTACCTGATTTTGGTATCAGGGTTATGCTGGCTTCATAGAATGAGTTTGGGAGTATTCCATCCCTTTCTATGCTCTGAAATACCTTTAGTAGTAGTGGTGTTAACTCTTCTCTGAACGTTTGGTAGAATTCTCCAGTGAAGCCATCTGGGCCAGGGCTTTTTTTTTGTTGGGAGTTTTTTAATTACCTTTTCAATCTCTTCTTTTGTTTTAAGTTTATTTAGTTTATCTACCTCTTTGTGTTCATTTAGGTAGGTAGTGAGCTTCTAGAAATTTGTCCGTTTCCTCTAGGTTTTCAAATTTGTTAGAGTATAATTTTTCATAGTATTCTGTTATGACTCTTTTAATTTCAGTTGGGTCTGTTGTAGTATCACCCATCTCATTTCTTATTCGGGTTATTTGCTTCCTCTCCTGTTTTTCTTTTGTCAGTTTGGCCAACGGTTTATCGCTTTTGTTGATCTTTTCAAAGAACCAGCTTTTGGTCTTGTTAACTCTTTCAATTGTTTTCATTTCATTTTTGACATTCCAACAATCCTGGGATAAAGGTTTTATTATCCCAGTTTTATAGGTAAGGAAACCAAGGACCAGAGAGATGAAGTCACTTGCCTAAGATTTAGTGGCTTAGAACCCAGGTTGATGTCACCCAGATCTCACCCAGAAGGAGAGAAGAGAAACCAGTGGCAGGAAAGGTAGTTGGATCATCTACTTCTCCTCCCCACCAACTCTTCATCCCATCCCTACCTGGGCAGCAGCAGAGGAGATCATCCCTAGCCACTAAGAGCTGGCTGGAATACCAAAAAAGGTAACCATTACAATAATAACAATGAAGCAGCTAATACCGTGTACGTCTTCACAATGTGCTCTGTCTGGGCTGAGTACTTTACAGGTGTGAACTTACCCAGCCATCACAACTCTATAAGGTAATGACTATTATTATTTCCATTTTGTGGATGAGGCCACTGAAGATCAGGAAGGTAAAGCGACAAATCTCGGAAACAGAGCTTGGGTTTGAACCCAGGTCTTACTGATTTCAAAGCCTAGGTTCTTACTAACCAGGAAACACTGTGTGTGTGTCCCCCAAATATGTGAATAAAACTGATGCTCCAGGAAGATGAGCCATCTGTGTCTGGTAGCATCCAAATGCCTCAGGCATCCTGAGCCCCCCACCAGAGCAATAAACCTGTGCCTGGGCAGCAACCCTGATAATAAGGGTCCAGGTGGTCTGGAGAAGACCTTGGTGCTTTCTCTACCCTGTGCATGCTCCAAACTGGGGTTCTGATCTTGCCACTCTTGGGGCTGTTTGGTCCCAGGTGCCAATACCCAGGTTCTTCCAGTGATCTCTTAACACAGAGGTATCCCACAGGTGCCCCTACGTGATCAGGAGCCCAGGCAGGTTGGTGTAGGAAGGCTGTGAGCAGGGATAGCAGGGGCAGCTGAGTCTGCCAAGCTGCAGACCCAAATTTGTCCTTTGTCTTCACAGTGAATGCTGACCCTGGCAGCCATGTTTAATCTATTACACAGTAGGTTTGCTCCCATTTGAGGTGGCTACGATACCTGTAAGATCTTCCTTGGAAGAGACTAGTCTCGGAGAGCTGCTTCCTGGTTCAATTCTGAGCGATAGTCTGAAAACCAAGATTGTCACAAGATCAGATGTACTCAGGTGTATCAGGTGGAACCGAACACGTGTATGCTTGGTGTTGGGAAAAATGGATTGCTGTTTAGGGTGTTATAATCATGGAACCCAGGAAACCTGCAAGGTCTGCTCCAGACCACAGCCACTTCCCTCTCGGTCCCCATTTTCATGTCAGAGAAACAATGGTTAAGGAAGACAAAGTAAAAAGAGCAATAATGGCTGATGGTTTATGTGCATAGATGTGTTGATTCTCACAACAACCCTATAAACTAGACACATTTATTGTCCACATTTTATAGATGAGGAAACTGAGGAGCAGCAAGGTTAAGTAGCTTTCCCAAATTCACAGGGATAGCAAGTGGCAGTGTAGGGGATCAAATCCAGGACTATCTGACCCAAACCAGTGCTTTAATCAATACACTGCACTCTCTCTCGTCAGATGTCCCCAGAGAGGTACCAAGCAATGAACAGGTTATGAGGACTGGCACCTCACTATTATTTTGCTTTTTAAGCACCAAGTAAGAAATTCTGGGTGAAAATGACAGAGTAGAGCCAGATTCCATACTCTCCCTCTCCCAACAAAACCAACACATAATTATAAAGGCTTATGAGTAAAATAAATTACCAGCTACAACTAAACAAGTTAACGGGTATAATTTAAAGCCACGAACTTCAAAAACTTGCAACTAAGGAAAGAAAAAGAGGATTTGAAGTTGGAACAAGAGTTGCAACATAGCATGGCTTCGCTCCTGCCCTCTGAGACTTCTCAGTAATTGAGTGGGGGTTCTTAGCTTTCTCTGAGTAGCAACAGATGTGGGGGAGAAACTGATCAAATGGGTAGAGAACACAGTGCTACATGAATGGAAATGAAGGTCTCCATGGGGGTAGCATTTGAAACCTAAGCATATTCCCTTTCTGGAATGGATTACAGCCCCTCAACTATGTGGAGGAAACCCTTATACAGACCTTTTAAAAGAGTCCACATATCTAAAAGGAATGTATGTTCCCTACCTCGATGGAGCCTGAGCCCTTTCTTTCCCTCATTTCCTTTAGGCTACAGAAGAGGGGAAAGACCAAGAACCCATGGGCCTCGCAGCACAGCAGGAGAGGAAAACCAGCCCACCTCACACACATGGGAGGAGGGTCAGATGTCTCCCTCCCTGTATCAGAGCCATGGAATATCCAGAGGCAGCCTCTCATACAGGAGCAAGACAAAAAGAAATGATATGGTGACCGAGTAAACATCCTCTCACAACAAAAGGAAATAGAAAGGAATACAGCACTTCCCAAAGAGCCCAACCTAGAAGGCAGCCCAAGGAGTAAAAAGAATCTTACCAATGCCTCAATCCATAAAACAACTTACTAAGAACATGGATTGAATAAAACAAAACCTGAAAAATCAGATGATAAAACAAAAGGATAAATCAAAAAGGGAGACTGAAAACCTAAGAGAACAAACAAAGGACTGAAACAACAGAGGACTGAATGAGTACCTAACAAACTCTCAGAGTGACTACTGATGAAAAGGTGGAGATTGTAGCCATTAGAAAGAAGATAATAGACATGGAGGGCAGAGAGCATACAACATACGGATTCCTGGAATCCCTGAAAGAGGGAAGCCAAGAAATGGCACAGATATAAGCCAGAAGAATTCCTCAGAAACGAAAAAAGAGCATACCACGTTCCAGGGAAAGTTGGTACAGAACCCTTCACTCTTAGGAACTCCCTTATTACTAAGTTTTTGAACTTCAAGGAATTCTTTGCTCAAAGCAGGCCAACAAAACAAGTCACTTACAAGAGGAAAAAAAATCAGACTGACTTTAGAACTCTCTACAGCAACATCGAATTCCAGAACGCAATGAAGCAAGGTCTGAGGGACAGAAGCAAAGGAGCATGACCCAACAATGCTAGACCCAGGAAGATGCAGACATTTTTCTGAGAAATCAGGGAACACAGGACCTATAAGCTCTTTTTGCGGGGAAGAAACCTACCTCATAATGAAATTCAGCTAAATAAGGGACTGATTTAAAATAAAGACTCAGGAATGACGAATTTGTGGTAAAACAACAGGTGGTCAGAATTGAGTCTGTTTAAAATTACTAAATAGCAGGAATTATGATTCCGGAATGTGAAGTTTATGTTATAAACTTGGTGGTAATAATAATACAACTAACAAAAAACTGGGAGGTGGCAGAGGGGAGGTGAAGGAAGGGAAAGAGTGTTAACGTTCTCTTCTTCCATAACCAGAGTCAACTGACATTCACAATGGAAACCTAGTTAAAATAAAACTAATTGATTCAAACCTCTTATGTTTTTCCTGACCTCTTTTATTAAGTTTAGAACGATCTTTTAGGAAATAATATCTCTTGTGGTGAAGAAACATTTATTTGAAGAGCAGCAATTCCTTAAGTTTTATTTTAGTTCCTTTTTCCACTTAAATTAAAATAAAATTAAAGCTAACACTTTTAATTAAAAATAGCTAGTATGACCCAATTTTAATAGATTCTACTCTTGTATCCATCCATTGATTCATCCTTCTCTATGTATATATGCAGAGAAAAATGTCTGAAATTAGGTTCACTTAATGCTAATGGTCACTCTTTTTACATGGTGGGAATTTGGGTAATTTTTCTTAAATTAAAAAAATAGAAAAAAGGCCAAGAAAAACAAAGCACTGGTTGGGCCCCTTGGCACAATATCTACAAAGCAGATCGGGACAGGATGTTAGAAATGGAATGTAATAATGAAACCATTGCATCCTTTGGGGACGGGGAGCAAGTCTCCAGGGCATGAGCTGGGCTCTTGAGTATGGGCTCCTCAAGCAGAATCATAAGGCCCACCCATCTCTGGACACTCAGAGCCAGGAACTCACTGGGAAGGGACCCCCCACTCACTGGGTCTGGGAACCTGGAGTGAGAATGCATGCTTCCTCTCTGTGTTTGTCCACTGTGACAACAACAAAGGGCCTTTATAAAATTCAGGCTGGCGCTGTTGTTTCGCATAAAGTACTGGGGTCGTTGAATGTACTTTAGGATGGAAGGAGTAATTACTCAAGATCTGCAACTTGTCCAAGGATTACCTCATGGTCAGAAGTATTTATAGACCATTTTTCTCCTTAAAGCATATTAATGTTAATGAAAAACTACTGTTTCTTTAATCTCAATACACACATGAATGGAAAATACTATCCCAGAACCTAAGCAGGAATAATTTTTCACTCCAGGTACTCTTTTCAGGAACAGTAAATGCTTTGTAAACAAAATGAGCTTAATTTGTGGCAGACATAATTTTAATTGTAAGCTCTGGCCTTTGTCTATTGTTTTAACTCTCATATATCACAATTTTATATTACATTCTACTTTAACAATTATACATTAATAACTATAGACATTATGTCTATGTTCTCAAACATGGCTGATCATTAAAATCACCTGGAAATCTCTGAAAAATACAAATTTCCAGGCCCCACCCATACACTAGAAACCTTCTCAAGTGATTATGATTCACAGTCAGGGCTAAGAACCACTACTGTAGAGCTGGCCAGATGTGTAACTATTGGAATTAGCCATTCCCAAGGTCCTGGTGAGGAGATCACTGGTAACCTGGGTATGCTGCTAGTGGTCACAACTCTCTACAGTTTTCAGTGACTTGGATCAAGACAAAGTAATCAAGCCGATCAAATCTGTAGGCACAAAACTGGAAGAGATATAACATACATTGGATAGTGGGATTCAAAAGAATCATAGCATGCTAAAAGCAACCAATGAGATGAAGTTTTAAAAAATACACGTAAAACTGGCGTTTAAAAAAATAAAACCTGTTCCCATCGAGTCAATTCTGACTCACAGTGACTCTACAGGACAGAGTAGAACTACCCCATAGGGTTTCCAAGGAGCAGCTGGTGGATTCGAACTGCCAACCTTTTGGTTAGCAGCTGAACTCTTAACCACTGTGCCACCAGGACTCCTGTTAAGTTGGCATTTAGGTGATAAATAATCAGTTGCAAGATGCTGGAGACCTGCTTCAATGTCAGATCATACGAAAATTACCAAGGCTTACAGTTGACCTCAATCTCAAAATGAGACAAGAGGATGTCTAATCAATGTGGCAGACAGAGTTAATATGAAAAAATTTGCTCCAAATACATGGAAATGCTGGGTAAATTCCCAGGGGCCACAAATGAAGAAATTATTGGAAGCCCAAGCACAATGAATGGAAGTGGAGGCCAGAGGGCCCACAGGGTCTTTATGGAAGCTGGGTCTCCACTACAGGGACTGCATGGGGATGGAGATGGGACCTTGGATGCTGACTGACAGTGAGAGTCCTGCAGAAAGTTGGGAGCCACAGAGAGCTGTCCCATACATAAAACGGGCTCTCACAGAACTCTGTTTGCTAGCCCAGAGATGTGGCTAGAAATCTGGCCTTCCACCGAGTGCTGTGGGTGGGGAAGCAGTCATTCATGATAACCCAGAAAGGGCAAGCCTGCACCATACGCGTCTATGGAGTTCAAATTTATATTCTGCATACCTGATAAGTTAACAGAAAATGTTCCTCAGAACAGTGGAGCCTGGGGGGTTAGGGCAGAGGCAAATGGGAGAAGATGCTCAGAAACCCACTGTGGGGTCTGTGGGGTCAGAAGTCACATTACATATGTGTGCTTCTGTGTGTTTTGGGGGGAGGGTACTGCTGGAATGACCTTCTATAAGCCCTGGTCCCAGCAAGGCCCAGGCCACCTGCAAGAACCAGAATGCTGAGGGCAACAGCTGAGGGGGGGTGGGCCTAACCGACATGAGGAGTAGGTGGGGACTTACTTGTAATTGTCATCTTCCACAAACTTTTGGAGCTCTTCAATGTAGCGTACGGACTTTAGGTACTTCTGCACGTGGGGCAGGGTTGTGAGGTGATCTGTGAAAGATGGACAAAACCCAGAAGTTTCAATCTCTCTCCATCTATAAGCCCCAAAAAAGAAGTGTAGAAATCACTGATTTTAGCATAAGATGCTTCTTGGATATTGAAACATTCATTCACTCTTTCAATAGTCATAGATGCTCCACTGGGCCAAGCCATATGTTAAGCACTGGGCACACAGGGGTGATCAGGCCTGGGTTCTGTCCTTGAGGAGTACACCCATGCTGTTGTGCCACAGATACCATGCTTCGAGCCTACCACTTTTCCTTGGCCAGGAAGGAGGAGCTGAGGCCTCCACTTGGGGCTCAAGGGCAGGGAAAGATGGCTCCCTGGCCTCCAGAAGAGACCAACCATTCCCCTCTTCATGGCTGACATCTCCTGCCTGGCTCCTAGTCAATCAGGCTCATTCCTGGAAGACTTGAGCACTTGGCTCGTAGTCGAGCTCCACATCCCAACCTCCACCATCATCTTGGGTGAAATCAATGTCTACATGGACAGCCCATCTAGCATTCTGACTTCTCAGCTCTTTGATATCATCTCCAATAACCTTCTCCTCCGTCTCTCTCAGGTACCCATCTTCATGGTCACACTCTGGATTTGGTCATGTGTAGCAGAACCTGGTTAGTTGTTCATCAAACTATTTTCCTCTTCCTTCTAGGCACACAGCTAGATTACACTTCTTAGCGTCCCTAGGAAGTGATGTGTGCCACTTGCAAGTCTGATTCACAGAACCCGCACTTGTATGATTCTCTCTCTTCCTGCCTCTGCCACCTGAATGCAAAGAGTCCAGTGAAGGACTCTGAAGTCATGGGAGACAGCAGAGCCACAATATAGAAAGAGCTTAGTCCCTGAATCTGCTTGGAGGAAAGCTTCCCTGAAGAGTAGCCGAAAAGGAAAACCTGCTTGGACTATTGTGTGAGCAAGAAATAAACTCTTGTTTTGTTCATGATAAATAAGCTCATACTATATTAAGCCACTGAACATTTTGGCACTGCTTGCTATAGCAGTTAGTCTACCCTGACTAATACAACTGGTAACTGCTCCATCTCTAAATCACTAATAAATGAGCCCACTCTCTGACCACAGTCTCTTTTTCTTCCACTACTCCCACAAACTGTTCTCCGATCCCATGGGATCTGCAGTCCACTGTCATCTCTACTTTCTCCCCATTCATCACCCTCTCCTTTCTTCAGCTCACGCCTTATGCCACTTAGTTTCTATGGCCTATCATTTCAGCAACACTCTTCCCAATACTCTAAACTTGCTTTGTCCTCTCTCTTCCTGTCCTGTCTATTTGGAAAACTCCTACATTGGATGAACCAACTGTCCCCTCTCTCCATGACTATACCTGAGCAACTGGGATCTGCTGGAGAAAGCTATACACTGAAGCAGACTAGTCCCATATCCAATTCCAAGAGGGGCCTCAAATGGCCTGGCAAACCCACAGTATTTCCCTGAGAAACTCTCTTCCCCATGCTCCAAAACAACTATTTCAAACTGTCTCCAGTACTATTAAACCTCCAACCTCTGTTTCCCTTTTCATTCCAGCAGACTTGCTTGCTTCCTACTTCTAAAGAAAGTAGAAGCCATCAGATGGACATGCTCTTAACTTCCTATCAGGACCCACCTCCATCTGCATTTCCCTCCCTCTTCTTAACACTATCAATGGCCAGTCTCTCTATCTCTGCTTTGGATCCCTTCCCTCCTGCCTTTTCAAGGACCTTACATAATTGATTATCCTTTAACCTTTCTCTTTCTTTTCTTTTATATTCTTCCCATTAACTTATAAAATGCCAAGTTTCTTCACAAAATCAATAACAACCACCTCTTCTTAATTTCACACTTCCTCGGTATCTCTTTCCTCTTCATTCAAGTTCTCCCAGTATCTGTTGTCTCCAGTAAAAGTCAACATTATCTCTTACCTGTAGAGATAATCTTCTACCAGGTCTCCCTGCTTCCACCCTAGACTTCCCCTCTAATCCATTCTCTATCTTGCAGGAAAGATTATTTTTTCAGAATGCAGGTCTGATCATTTCACATAAACGTTTAAGACACATTAATGTTAATGGCTTCTCACTGCTCTTAGGATAAAAACCCAGATCCCTACCTTTGTCAAGAAGGCCCTCCACAGTCCTTGCCTGCTTCTGCAGTCTCACATGATATCATGCTCCTCCCCTGCTGTCTCTGTTCCAGCTCACCAGTCTTCTTTCAATCCCTGGTATGTGCGCCATGCTCCCTCCCACCAGAGAGCCTTCGCATGGGCTATTTATCCCCTTTGTGAGGACCCCTCCTGCCTTCTCTTCTTTGGTGAACCCTTCCTTGATACTTTGACTTGGTCAAGTCCCCTTTTATGCCATCATGCCACAAAGTACTTCTCATTTGTAGCAATGTATCATAGTTGCAATTTTACATTTACTTGTATGATTATTTGATTAACGTCTCTCTACCTAAACTCTGGAGCCTTGGTGGTGTAGTAGTTAAGAGCTTGGCTGCTAACCAAAAGGCTGGCAGTTCAAATCCACCAGCCACTCCTTGGAAACCCTATGTGGCAGTTCTACTCTGTCCTATAGGGTCACTATAAGTCAGAATCTACTTGGCAGTAATGGGTACCTGGGTACCTAAACTCTAAAGGGGCAGTAGTGGTGTCTGTTTTATCTCCTCATCATATCTCTTACTTTTACTACAGGATCAGTGTTTTAGTTATCTACGCTGCTATAACAGAAATACCACAAATGGGTAGCTTTAACAGAAATTTATTTTCTCACGGTTTAGGAGGCTAGAAGTCTGAATTCAGGGTGCTGGCTCTAGGGGAAGCCTTTCTCTCTCTGTCGGCTCTGAACGACGGTCCTTGTTTCTTTGAGCTTCTGCTCCTGGGCGATCTTCATATGGCTTGGCATCTCTCTTCCCCCATCTCTGCCTCTAGCTTGCTTGTTTGATCTCTTTTATATCTCAAAAGAGATTGACTCAAGACACATCCTACGTTAATCCTGCTTCATTAACATAACAAAGACAACTCACTCCCAAATGGGATTATAACCACAGGCATATAGGTTAAGAATTACAATATATATTTTTGGGGGCACAATATAATCCGTAACAACTAGGCACAGAGTAAGTGCTCAAACATAGCTGCTGAATGAATGAATGACTTGGGAGCCAAACAGACCTGGGCTCTGCCACTCACTACCCATTACTGCCAAGTCGATTCTGATTCATAGCAACCCTGTAAGACAGAGTAGAATTGACCCATAGGGTTTCCAATGAGCAGCTGGTGAATTCAAACTGCCAGCCTTTTAGGTTAGCAGCCGAGCTCTTAACCACTGTGCCACCAGGGCTCCCTGCCACTCACTAGGTATGTGAAATCAGACAAGTGACTAAACTGTTCCCAGCCTGGGTTTTCTCACATGGGATACAGAGATAGTAACGTCTTGTTTGCACAATCTTTGTGAAGATTAAACCTTTGTGTAAAAGATCTAGCACATATTTGATGCTCAAGCTATTAAAATGAAGAACTAGCTGGTTTCCAGAGCTTTCTCACTGACAGGTGCTAGACCCCCAATTTCAATAATGTAAGATTTCAGGATTCCAACACATACAGTACTAACCGTAGCTGCAGGAAACTTGTAAATCAGCAATTATTCGGAGAATATTGTTCATCTGATTGGATCTTTGTTCATTTTCCATGATACTGCCTGAGGCAGGATATGCAGAATCAATGTAGATTAAATCCAGAAGATAGATACCTGAAATTAAAGATATTTAATGAGGTTGGAGATCACCATTTATTAGAACAAAACAGCACAAAGTAGCACTGCTCTGCTAAAAGGTATAATGGGTGACTTATGGAAAACCAAGATATGATTTGGACTTCAATTCCCACCCTGACTACTCATTTTTCACATAGACTGCTCAACTGTAAACCAAACATCTGAGCAACAAGCAAAACAAATGCTGGCAAGATTTTAGTATTTCTAGTTCTTGCACTCTCCATCAATAAGGGTTTTTACTCGTAACCCAACACAGAAAATGGCAGGACACAACAGGGATGAATACTTGTGATTTCACCAACTGATAAAGATAAGTCTAAGGTGTCATATGCAGGAGCCCAATCCTTTGGACTGAATTCATTTTTTAATTCATTCACTTAGCTGTCTATCCATCTGTCTAATTCACCTGTGTAAACACACACACACACACACCCCAACCAAAAATCATAAATTAACTGACGGATAAAAGAAGAAATTGAAAGAGCAACAGTCTTGGGTCCACTACTTATGGGCTGTGTGGCTTTGTGCAAGTGAGTTAATATATTTAAGCCTCAGTTTCAGCAACTGTAAAACTGGGCTAATAATGCAATCTAGTTCATTGTCAAGTGTATTAAATGAGACAGTATTCACAAACTACTTAGTACAATACCTGGTACATGGTAGTTACAGGCAGAATAAAAGGTAGATACTGCTGCTGCTAGCTAGCTAATATTCATGGAAGTCTTATTATGTGCCTGGTACTTTTCCACCACTACTACCACCACCTACTACTGCTACTACTACCATTACTACCACCACCACCCACATCTACTATACCACATAACAAGGAGCTAAAAATAATAACCACCCCACTTGCTATGAATGGGCACAAAATTGGTTTTAAGCTTTCTAGCAGTCAGTAGGGAAAGGAAAACTTGGTTAGTTCCATAATATATCATGTCTGTGAAATAAAAATAGACCAATTATTTGACAGAGATGGTACAAAGTTTTAGAACTAAGACTAGACAGAAAATTCTCCTGAGGGCCCTTAATAAGAAAATAACATGCGATGTAAAAACATTGCTATGACAATAAAAAAAACCTAGTGGTTTCCAAGTGGTTTTATCAAAACCTGGGAAATGAGAGTGGATAATAGGGGATAGGGAGCCTACTCCAAGTCTTATCTTCTCAGGGAGGGGATCACATGGTGTAGATATTTACTTTTTGATGCTGATAGAGAAATGCAGATTTAAACATGTTTAAAATTTTAAGAGAAACCAATAATAGAACATAACCTGGATGGAGAACTCTCAAATTACCATAGGACAAAATAGGAATAAACAGTTCAACAAAAGTTCATAAAATAGCAAAAGGAAAGCACAGCCAGCACAATAAAAAGGAACTATATCTCTATACCATAGAATACTGACCAAAACCAAAAACCAAACGCATTGCTGTCCAGTCGATTCTGACTTATAGCGACCCTATTCTAAGGATGTAATCTTTACAGAAGTAGACTGCCACATTCTTTCTCCTTCAGAGTGGTTGGGGGGTTCGAACCACCAACCTTTCAGTTAGCAGTCGAGCACTTAGTTACTGCACCACCAGGTAGCCTCCATAGAATACTATGCAGCAATAAAAAGGAATAAACTATTGATACACACAAGAACTTGGATGAATCTTAAGGGCATTATGCAGAGTGAAAAAAGCCAATTTCAAAGGGTTACATACTGTATGATTCCATTTATATGACATTCTCTAAAGGACAAAAGGAGCCCTGGTGACACAGTGGTTAAGTGATACAGCTGCTAACCAAAAGGTCAGGAGTTCCAATCCACCAGCTGCTCCTTGGAAACCCTATGGGGTTGCTATGGGTCAGAATTGACTTGATAGCAATGGGTTTTGGTTTTTTTTTTTTTAAGGGACAAAATTATACAGACATGGAGAACAAATAAGTGGTTGCTAGAGGCTAGGGATGGTGAGGGTGGTTGTTATGACTATAAGGTAGTACAAACGAGATATAAGTGGTGATATGATAGTTCTGTATCTTGATTCCAGCGGTGGTTCTACAAATTTACACACGTGATAAAATGACATAGATTTATACACACATATTGTACCAATGTCAATTTCCTGGTTTTGATATTGTACTACAGTTACATAAGATATAACCATTGGGGGAAACTGTGTGAAGGATATAAAGGACCTCTTTGCAACTTCCTGTGAATCTATAATTATTTCAAAATAAAAAGTTAAAAAAAAGTAACATGAATAAGACCAAATATATCAGTCATCAAAAATAAATGTGAATGAATTAAATGTCCATAATAAAAGAAAGAGACAGTCAGATTAGGTAAAAAAGGCAAATTATGGCTACATAATACTTACAAAAGGGTTGAAAATAAAGTGAAGGTACAATATTGAGAAGAAGACAAGCAAAAAGAAAGCAGTAGCGATGTAAAGCAGAACTCAAGGCAGAAAACTCTGAACAAGGTAAAGAGGAGTGGTTGATATTAATGAAAAGTACAGTTGACTGAGAAGTTCTAATGATTACAAACTTTTATGCATGATGCAACATTGCATCAAAATATACAAGGCAAAAAACTGCTAGAAATGCAAAGTGAATTCAACAAAGCCACAATCATAGAGACAGCCTTTGGCATGTCTCTTTCAGATTTTGACAGTAATAATAGATATTAGCAACATTAACAAGCTTGATTTTATAATTTTATATAAATGAAAATATAGTTCTTTTCAAATGCCCATGGAATGTTTACAAAAATTTATTAAATTGTAAAGAAAAGCTCAATAAGTTCCATATTATTCACATTTTAAAATGTGTATTCCCTGACACCCTCCCATACCTTTTTAGCATACCTATCTACCTATGTATCCATTTACAAATTAGTGTTTGTTAATACTACTGTTCCAGGATTGTCTATGCTATAGTAATTACTGTAGTTGCCCTTTGTTCTTGAGTTCCTCTCAGTGTCCTCCCATGCCTTGGTCTTGTTTTGTTAACTTTCCCCATATTGTGTATTGCCTTTCCCTTCACCAATATTAACACGTCTTCTATCTATTTGGTAATTTTCCCTCCCTCCCACTCCCATCTGTGGTAACCATAAAAGAATTTTTATCCCCTTGTATGTGAACCTTTTCTTGTTTCTTTATGATAGTGGTCTCATACAATATTTGTCCTTCTGTTACTGACTTATTTCACCAGCATAATGCCTTACAAGTTCATCCATGTTTTGAGATGTTTCGCAGATTTGTCATTATTCCTTACCACTGCATAGTATTCCATTGTGTGAATGGACCACAGTTTGTTAATCCATTCATCTACTGATGGACACTTAGGTTGTTTCCATCTTTCTGCTATTTTGAATAATGCTGCAATGAACATGGATGTGCATGTATCTATTCGAATCATGGCTCTTATTTCTCTAGGATATATACCTAGGGGTGGGATTGCTGAGTCATATGGTATTTCTATTTCCAGCTTTTTAAGGAAGTGTCATACTGTTTTCTATAGCAGTTGTACCATTTTACATTCCCACTAGCAGTGTATGAGTTCCAATCTCCCCATACCTACATTCTTTGACCTTACTACAATACATCTAGGATTTACAAGAAATACAGAAAAAATTCTAACCATTTGCAAAACATACACACACTCATAAGCAACTTTTAGGCCAAAGAAAAAACAAAGAAACTAAAATAAAGAATCTATTTGAAGACAATGACAATGAGAACACTACATATCAAAACTATGGGATCTGGCCAAAGTGGTACTCAGAGGAAATTCTGTAGCCTTAAATATTTACTATTTAAAAACTAACAATTATTACAAACATAATTAACCAGATACCTAAAATAAAAGGTGTGGGTTTTTTTGAACAGATGGACAAGCTCTGCACTAAGAGCTATACATTTATTACTTTATCCTTTTAAAAAATCCATTTTATAGAAGAGGAAGAGGAAGCTCAGAACTTTTTGAGCTCACAAAGTAACTCTTTCGAGGTCACACAGCTGGTAAACAATGGAGACAGGAGTCGAACTCAAGCCTGCCTCCCCCAGAGTATACACTTCCTGCCATCACAGTGTACTACTTGGTGCTGGATACCATGAGTCATTCATCTGCTTTTTAAATAGCTACACATTGTTACAGGAAACCATTAAATCACAGAAACATATGCTAGCACTTCTCATAGGAGCCATTTCCATTTTCTTTCTTTTTGGCAATGCCATGTTTCCAAAAGTTTAATCATTAGAAATAATTTCCTTTGTATATAAGCTCCAGTTTTGGTAGGTTTAAATCGACAGATTTATTCTTTCCTTTGTTCTTGTTTCCTCTCCCCTCTTAAGAATACACCTCAGACCTCCCCAAGGATTCAGCAATGGCAATCCTGAAAATCCCCTTACCACTTCAACCACAACAAAAAATATCCTCCAGTGCTGAGCACGAGGTGAGGGGATATGGGACACGAGGCAGTTTTATTCCAGATACAGCATGCAGTGTGCTGACTCAGGGTCGCAGAGAGAAAGATTAGCCTGGGGAGCAAAGAACTGAAGAGGCAGGAGAAGAATACAAGGAGAGAACTGATGCTTCCTGAGGATCTATTATGAGACAGGCATTTTATCCATATTATCTTATGTAATCCTTTCATTTACCCTGTGAAGTATGGGGAGGAAACTAAAGCTGAGAAAGACTAAGACATTTGCCCAAGGTCCCGCAGCAAGTATTGGTGGTGCTGGGATTTGAAGCCAGGTCTATCTAGCTGCAATGCCTATGTGCCTACCCATGGGGCCACCAGTCGGCAGAAACACACAGGGAATCACCCTTTCTCAAATCACAGCCTCAAAGAAAGACTTCCCTGTGTGGCCCTGTGAGGATGGATCCCTCAGGTCTCTAGAGGAGGACTCCCGGCAAAGGATTCCTGAATCGTGCTCTGAAAACAGAGGCCTGGAGGAGCCTGCTTTAGAAGCGGCAGTATACC